GGCATGTGTCGTTCTGTAGATCAAAACGATCTAACAGTCCATGCAGCTTACGTCGGAATGAAGGAGGGGTACAGCTCATCCCTGAAATTACTTATTCTGTTATGGGATTTAAAAGGAGAAATCAGTGGATCCAGTAAAAACAATCACATCAAAACATAGGAAGAAGTCAGACCAGTCTTGGGAATTAAAATGTATCAGTAATTTCCCCGAGTCATTTGGGCCGAATAGAATTCCTGCATTTGCAATACGAGAACTACCTAATGAACTGTACGAACCACCGTCTGTCATATTCTAGTCTTTTTAAGAGGGAGACCTCCCGGAAGTATGAAAGTGTGCATTCACCATCTGATCTATTTAAATACTGCTGCTGGTAATGTCCTTCTGCCTAAATACTTCTTTATATTTATATTTAAGGCCCGGAAAACCTTATCATTACAAACTTAGTACTGTGGTAAAAGTAAATACATATGGGTAACTGCTGCGATGCGTAAGCAATAAAATAAGCAGCAGACGTGTTTAGTATCGTAGGTAAGTAATTTCATATCTGCTTATATGTCGTCATGTTAGGATAATATTAAACACCTCTGAAAAAAATATGGTGAACTAAGGAGGAAGCGGGAAAAAAATCCTACCATAAAAGTGGGGCAGGTTTCAGCGAACCCCTACTCGCTAAAAATAAAGTAGGAGAAAACAAATTGTTTCTATAAAAATGAAGAGGATAATTTATAGGATTTTTGTGGTACGGTGAGATAGGACCGTAGTTGTTAATGAGAACGTGTGAGGGTTTGAAAGGCTTATTGTCTTTGGAGATATCATAGAGCAGCAAATGCTACTGGTCACCGCCATAACAACGTCCGAATAGTTACAGAAACAACCATCAGTGAGCTAAGACAGGAGGAGGTGGCCACGGAAAACGGGGTCGGAACCATGAGGTGAGATTAGAGGTTACGAGATCGTCACCGAAATGCCGAAGATACGACCTTGCGGACCGCATAGTACACCGACAAGTTGGCGAAAAAAATAACCCACCACCATCATCACCTGAGACCGCGAAGACCATCGCCAGCGTTTCAAAAGGGATAAGGACTGCGAACATCTGGCAATTATAGTAGAGGATGAAAAAAAACTGCAAAGGATGACACTGAAGAGGATAATATGAACATATATGGAAACTAATTTAATATAAACGAAACCCCCTCAAATATCAGGAGGACCCTTTTCAAAGTCCAGAATTTGTGTGTTTGGAAAGGAAACGGATAGCAAGGACTTAGTATCTTCCGAGGTTAAATTTTTACATAATTTGGCTTTGATAACTGCAAATGTAAATGACAACCTAATTTCGAATGTAATATAAGGGTGGTTCACGATATAACTTCGAAAATTACAGTCCCGCCCGTTCAACTAGCATCTCTTGTAAAATCGTGGAACATATTATCAAAAGACAGTTAATGAGCGATCTGGAAACAACAAAATGTTATGCAATTTCCAGCGCGTCATACGTCCGCACGCTATTACCTCACGAACACTCTTTACTCGAAGTGGACAAACCCCATATATAAAGGGTATCCACTTGATGTCTTATTTTTTGACCCCAAGAAGGCTTTACTAGTCTACCCAACAGGATTCTTTTGCAGAACATTTGAAACGTGGGAATGCAAGGAGGTGTGCTTAAGTGTATCAAAAACTGCTTGTCCCCCAGAGGACAGAGAACCGTTTTAGAAACTCAACAGCGGAATGAGCAACAGTGGAAAGTGGTATTCCTTATCTTCATAAATGACTTCCTCAATGGCTACGACCCTGAATCCGTCCTGTTTGCGAATGACGTAACTATATGGGCTGAATGTAACTGCGTTGATGAGGCAAAAACTTAAAAATTGAATATCGATAAAACTGACTGTCTTGTCGACCACCTGTGTTCTCAAGTCTAATGTATCCAAGTGGCTGGCCCTACATATTAGACTGGATCGAAGAATATCACAGAAACACAAGTTTTTTAATAAATGGTGCCGTATTTATGGAGATGGAAACGCACAAACATCTGGGCATGTGGATAACCACGAAAATTATTCCACAAGACAGCTGTAGAAAGACAGTACATAAAGCAACCAGTACGTTGCGCTGGATCAGGCGTGCTTTTTAAATTTTCCTCTTGAGTATTTTGAGCAAATCTTTGTCGTTGTGGTGAGATCACATTCAGAGTACAGAAGGCCAGTTTGGATACCCGGATGAAAAAGGTGTTGACCTCCTCGAACAGGCACAATGGATGGCGTCGAAGGTTGTCGATGGCCTTAAGGACTTACCGTTTCAGGACAGGTTTAAAAGGCTTGACTTATTTCCTATGCTTTACATGCTCTCACAGTGTAGCCTGCTCTGGACATTTTGGAAAATTCGCAGTCATGGTTCCTCCGTGAAAACCGAGGATTTCTTCGAGTTTGCCAGCAAAACCCACCCGAGCACTCATCCTTCCGAGGTTCCAAGCGAACGGACTGGACTGAACCTCAGAAGGTTTTCCTTAGCCAAGGATTGATATGACC